ATGAGTTTCAATTTCATGGTGTCCTTTTGTTTCTTATTTATACTTAAAGGCAACATTCCTGCTTCAATAACTTTCCTCACATTTTCACATTCATTTAACCCATTCCCGACCGGCATGGCATGTACCTACATGCCATGCTCACTGTAAGTTTATTTGTGTGATTGTTTTTACACATAGATGGCCACACTTGTTAATATTTTTCGTTAACGTATTTTGCTATTACTAATGTTTATAACATTACAGTAATTATAATGTTTATAATAGAAATAACACTAGTAAAAAAATACATCGATGTGTAGATATTTCATAAAAATATATACAAAATGAGCACAGCATTTTCCCCATTTTTTATTCATTTTCCCCAGTGGCAATGGGTTAAGCAACATTGGGAAGTTCTGGTTTGAGGCTTTATGGCTGTCCTCCGCTGTAGATTTATGTATTTGAAAGTACACCTTAGTTCAAGCCTTTTGAAAATTAAAAACAAAACCTGTTCTTGCTCCCCTAGTGATACTTTTCAGAAAAAAAGAAAAGAAAAAGGATATGGAGATACTGTTACGTCAATTGCTTATAGTTTATTCTATGTGTTACTTATTATAACTTGTAATAGTACCTTGAATAGAATGATAACCAAGTTGATCAATATGATCATGTTGAGACACAGGATAACAGATTTATAATTCCACTCTCACTGGAGCATTTTTGTGTTTTTATCACAAAAATGATAATTCCTATTTATATTCACGAGTTTGAATAGATATTACCTTACTGTGAAGATTATTTCAGCTGGTTATTATAACCACAAGAAATAGCTTCATAACTGTAATGGAGATTACTTCCATAACAAGGTAAATTCTCTACTCCCTACGTGTATCTTGTCTCCCCTTGGAGATATGTGAGGACACTGACCTGCATTGGTCTTCCCTCACTCAAGGTGCATCTGATTCAGTACTGTATATTATTATTGCTATTATTTATTTCTAGGTGTGAATCACTTTCCCTGGTCCTTTTTATGCATCCACACACAGCTACTGAACTTTAGTGCCACTCATACAGCCTGACCTCTCCTGACCTTGCAGACCCAGGCCAAAGGCAAAACCTGTAGATTATCACCCCTATGCCCCCAAGACAAAGTGTCTGTAGCACGTGGTAAAACCCCCAAAGGTTCATCTCCACTATAGGTCCTTTTCTTTAAGTCTGGCCTGTAATCTTAGTATGAGTAGATAGTACTACTGATATTTATTTTAGCAGTACTCATGGCTATGGCTATAATTTATATATTTATTTATTTTTTATTATTATTTTTTTTTTTTTCCTTCTTCTTCTTCTTCTTCTTCTTTAGGTACTGCCATTGTTGAGTCATTTTCTTAGTAGTGGTAGAGTCTGTTCAATCAGGTCTGATCCCTGGGTATAAACTTTGGCTTTGATTGGTGGATGCAAGCCAGTCAGAGTCAAGTGTGAATTAGCAGTCCCTTCGGTTACTGGACGCAAATGAGTGAGCGTCATGGGATATTGGCTGGCTGCTTTCTTCTTTAGTGTGGGGTTGTCTGTCATGTCTCTGGATCTGACATTTCAGTTTCCGGCCTTTAGTTGCATTACCATTGCATAATTATCAGTCATTTTTCTCAGCTTTAAAGGAAACAAAATATGAGATGGTATAGCATTTCAGGAATGATGTTTATCTGATTTTGTTTATTCCTAGATATAGTAACCAAAGAAAACCAAATAGATCTGAAAATAACATACTTTTGAGCTGAACATACACGTGATGCACTTTTGCCAGATGTGAGCAAAAGAAATGCCATGTACATCATTTATTTACTCTGCAGTCTGTAGGACAAAGGTGAAGACATATAATTTATAAAGGTACATGAAAGGACAAATCCAAATTTTGTGCAGAGTAAAAAAATGTCACTTATTAAATTGTTACAGAACATCTGCATATACATGATTACTTTGAACATCGCTCATCACTTTTTGAACCTTTTTAATCAACTCTGATTTTCTTTAAAAACTTTATACTTAGTTCCAGAAATTGTTCCATATATAAACTGTATACATTGTTCCAGAAATTGTTCCATATATAAACTGTATACATTTAGGTTGAGGAATATATGTAAACAAATATATATCAGTAAAAATAAAAATAATTGCAAATTTACGTCAATCTTCAGAGTTCCACTGACCAGTGAGCAGCCTTGTTTTAAACGATTCTAGGCTACAGATATCAGTGCCAAGTGAACAAACTATTGTTACCAGTCCTTCTGTTACTGGTGGTTAACTTTTATGTCCCTAAGTACCAGTATTACATCCCAACTTTGCTTTTGAATACAATCTTTCATGATTGACATTGTAAATAAGCTCTGTCTTATGTTCATGTTTGTAAAATTTTCTCATACCCATGTACATAAATGTTTGCAATGTAGCACCATCTCCCATTCCATGTCTGTAAACTTTAGTACAGTAAATCATCAAAGCTAGTTGGATAAAAAACATTCTAATA